CTTTTGATAAGTTTGTTGATAATATGTCTTGGTGAGTTTCTTTTTGGGTCTATCCTGTTTGGGGTTCGTTGGACTTCCTGAATGGATATAGTCTCATCTTTCATCATATCAGGGAAGTTCTCTTCCAACAAATGTTGGACAATTTTCTCATTGGTTTTCTTTTTCTCTTCCTGTTCTGGAATTCCGATTACATGTAGGTTATTCCTTTTGATGGTATCCCACATGAACCTTAGGCTTTCTTCATTTTGTTTTGATCTTTTTTCTGATTGATCCCTTTCCAAAGAAGTGTTCAGGTATTTGTCTTCAATCTCATTAATTCTGTCTTCCATTTCATCCATTCTACTCCTTTGCCCTTTCAATGTGTTATCTATTTCTGAAAATTTAGTATTAATCTTCTGGATTTCTGTGTGTAGATTTTGTATCATTTATAATTTTTCATTTATTTTGTCATTTTGTTTTTGTATTTTCTTCGAAAATTGTTCTAGGGTTTTGTCTGTGTTTTCCTTAATTTAATCATTGTTTTCCTTTATCTGTCTCTCAATCCTTTGAAGATAACTAAGTATAATTCTTTTGAATTCTGTTTCAGGGAGTTCCAATGGTGCTTCTTCCTCAGGAATGTGTTCTGGGTCTATAACCTGCTCCCTTGTTTCTACCACTTTTCCTTTTTTGTGTGGACTTTGATGGTTTCTTGTCTCTGAGACATTGTGATGTTGTTGTGTTTAGATTGCTATTAACTGTTTGTGAAGGGCAGCTAAGAGTGAGTCAGGCTCTTCTTGATAGTCATTTATCATTGGCCAGTTGGTGGAGAAGGAAGTGGTAGCTCACAGTAATGGAGCTGCAGGAGTTGTGGGTGTGGTTGTGTTGTCTGGGCTTGGTTGCTGTCTCCCACTTAGACAAAAACAACGATTAAAAAACCGTGAAAAAGGTAGAAGCAAGCAGACAAAAAACACTGCATAAACACACAGGAACAATCCTCAAAACAAGGAAAAAGAAAAGAAAAACTCCTCACAATATCTGCAGAGGGGTAAATAAGAGAAAAAAGGTAGAGTAGGAGACTAATGAGGAAAAAAATGGGGAAAATGCAAAAAGAAAAACAAGGAATGAGATTAACCATGAGAACATGAGAAAGGGAAAAAAAAAAATAGGAACCAGGAATAGGGAAGAGAGAAAAAGCTGAAAACGAGAACCTGGGAAGGGAAGAATAAAGAATAATAATAAAAAGGACAGAAGAAAAAAAGAAGACGAAAAAGAAGAATAGTAATAATTTTTAAACAGACAAAAACAAGCAAATCAGGAAAAAAAAAAAATATGGGCAGGGCATGGCACCCAGATTCCATCGGAGCACACAGACTGGGATGAAATTCCTGCTAGCCCAGAAGGTAGGTGGGAGTGGGAGATGGCTGCACCTCCGTTCACCAAGAGAGTGTGAGTTATAAGAGTAACGAGGGGAATAGTACACCTTTCCAGTTGCTTGCGTCCGGAATGTCCTTGTGATTCCCTGCAAGTGGAGCCTATTCTTAGGTCCCTGGAATCTAATAATCTTACTCAAATTATTAGAAAACAATGTAGACACAAAGCAAATCTGAGAGAATGTTCTTGCTTTAAATATCCAAAATGGTCGAACTGTCTGTAAACATTCAAAATGGCTGTGCCCTTTGGACAGGCACAAGTCCACAGCTCACCCCCTCTCCCTCTTCACTGCTTTCCTCCCCCCTTTTTTTTTCCCAGCCACCAGTGCAGTCCTCCATGCAGCCCCTGGCTAGCAGGACTGATTTTTAGGTTCATTCTTACACCACTTACATATCCAAGGTGTCTGTGCCATCAGGATGGCTGACAGACCGCAGCTCTGGGTGTCTCCTTTTTTGGTGTTTTCATGCAGGTTCTTCTACTAGTTGGAGTTTAGTCCACTTCTGTATCCTTCCTTTCAAAGCTCAGGGCTCCAGGATTATCTTCTGTATCTGTGTTAATTGGTTTGCCTTTTCTTTGTTGAAGAGGGTCTGTGTCGCTTGTCTGCCTATTCTACCATCTTACCAGAGCCACTTAAATAATCTCTTAAAGCACTAACATTTTAGATGTCTACAAATCTGAGCTGCAATTAAGATTGTTTATCATGTGATTAGAAAATCAGATTAAACTTTTTCATTCATAGAATATTTTCTCTTTTGTTTATTATAATTAAAATACATTATGAACTGTGTCAGTTTACTGGCTGTCAGAAGAGATATTTCTTCTTATGATTCCAGAAACAACCAGGAGAGTGATAGAACAACTCCATATTCAGGAGTGGTCTGGAGGAGGCCCATCCAGAGTAGAATGAGTGTGTGGGCCACACTGCAGTGGCCAACATGTATCTGTTTCTACCCTAGGTCTCTCAGAGACTATGTTGTTGTTGGTATTGGTATTGAGTCAGTTGTGACTCATGGTGACCCAATGTGTTATACAGTAGAACTGTTCCATAGGATTTTCTTGGCTGTAATATTTACAGAAGCAGATCACTAGGCCTTTTCTTGCACTATTCCACTAGGTGGGTTTGAACTGCCAACCTTTGGGTTGGCAGTGAAGTGTAAACCATTTCAGGGACCTTTTAGGACTATAAAAGATCCCTCAAAAGCCAGGTAAGGCCTGGAATGCCCTCGTGTCCACACTAATTTTCTTGAAAACTCAAGTGTAGTTACAGAATAAGAGAATTTTAGCTGGATTTTAAAGATTTATACATTAGTTGGCCACAAAACTCTTAAATTTCTTCAGTCTTCTTAGTTGTTATTAAATTTTTTGTAAAACATATTCTTTTTCTGTAGATCCTTCATTTCTTCTTCCTTACATATTTTTACATGTGTTATGCTCATGTCACTTATACCAGTATCATACATCTTGTAGAGTAAACATTTAAAAATGATCAAGTAGAATAGTTTTGTTTTCTTTCCCTCCCTCCTTCATTTTCTCCTTTTTTCCCTCTTTCCCTCCCCTCTCCCCCTTTCTTGTGTACTCTGTTACATTAGAGGTAGTGGAATGTAGTATAAAGAGCACAGAGCTGGAAGGCACAATTCCTGAGTTGTATCCCAACTCTATTAACTAACCATGTGACCAAAGAAGTCACTAACTTCTTTTATCTTCTGTTTCCCTATTTGTCCAATAAAAGGAATGAATAGATTACTTCTATGGTCCTTCCAGTTCTTACATTTCATGAGATCTTAAGGAGAGGGCACATTTGTGGTTTCTTTATAAGCTCAAATTTAAAAGTCAGATCTTCTAGGTACTTCCTTTTGTCCTAAACATTTATTTGATAAGTTCCCTTCCGTTTTCCAGATTACCTTAGTTATAACTCGGAAGGAAGGTTGGGCAATCTACTTCCATAGTGATACCACCTCTGAAACCCAAGGAAGGGTCACTATGAGTCAGCTCCAACTCGATGGCAGTGGGTTTGGTTTGATTTTAGTTATAACCATATGTCCTATAGTTATGGATACTGAGATACTTTCTGCTTGTTTAAACTGAACTAAACTAAAAAAAAAAAAAAATCTTACTCAAGTTATTAGAAAACAATGTAGACACAAAGCAAATTATGGGTACATCTTGGTGACTTTCTGTTTTTTGTGTGTGATTGTCTAACTTTAATTTCAGAGTTGTATCCCTCAAGTTTGCTCCTTAATTTTGCACAGTGCTTATTTTAGTACAGCCGTGATTTCTGTGACAGTACAGCAATACAGGGGGCGAACGTGAGCTGATAATTTATATCTACCAGTTCTAAAGGAATCTGGAAATATAAGATGTTTATTAATCAAATCTAAAAAAAATAAATTCACTGCCGTCAAGTCGCTTCCGACTCATAGTGACCATTCCTTGAGTTTCTGAGGCGGTACCTCTACAGAAGAGGATTGCTCAGTCTTCTTTTGATGAGTGCCTGGTAGGTTTGAACCGCCAGCCTTCTGGTTAGCAGTCAAATGCCTTAGGCACTGTGCTACCAGAGCTCCTAATTAAATCTACATAACTTTAAAACATTTAAAATGATTCAGAGAATAGTATAAGCAATTCACTGTTGGAGCAAATTGGGGGTATTTTTATTTTTACAGAAAATCTGTAGAATTGTGTTTGCTCACTATTCTTGTACCTTTTTTCAGAATACTCATAGTTTAAATATATATTTCAGCTGTGAGCACTGAAGATCAAATTTAAATCTAGGCACCTGTTGCCTCAAATATTTACTGTAAAGCAATTTTCTGTTTTCAGTAGATGATGCTTTGTGGAAGATAACATAAATAATAACCTAAAGAGAAAGTGAATTCTCTAATCCCACCATCTAGAACATATGCTATTAAAATTTGGTGGTATATTCTTCTAGTCTTTTTTTCTTTGTATTTATTTGTTGTCATAAAATTGGGATCATTTTTCACGTAGTAACAAATTGTTAACATTTTCTTATGTCCCAAGATAGTTGTTGCATCACATGAATTTTCAATGACTGTATGATGTTCTACCAACTAATGTATTTGACCAATCTTTTCTTTTCTGATGTGTACAATGTTTTTAGATTTTTTTGTTTGTTTTATTACATAAGTAATTTTACAGTAATTATTTTTATTAATAAATCTTGATATGCCTCCCTACTTTAGAGTAGTCCTGAAAAGTACAAATTCTTTCAAAAGATAGACATTTAAAAAGTTTTTTATAATATATCTACCAAAAATAGATGAGAGTGCAGATTTTATTATACTTTTGCTAAAACTGAGTACTACTGTTACTTTTCAAGCTTTTCATATTTTGTTTTAAAGATTGTAATTGTGCCAAAAAGTAGAAAGAAGAAGGGTTCTTTGCGGTCACTAGTAGCAATAAGCAGATTACTAGTATATCTCTTTCCAAACAAATAATAGGATCAGAATGTCTAATCTTGATCAATTTTAGAAGTCAATTTGTGTTGCTTTCCCAGATGCATGTGACTATGTATTTTAATACTTACTAATATTTCATATATAGTATTCAAATGAATTTTTTTTTTCTTACAGAATAGTAAACCAGGGAAAAAATGGAAGGTTATGACTCAGGAATTTATTAATCAGCACACAGTGGAACACAAAGGAAAACAAATTTGTAAATACTTTCTGGAAGGGAGATGTATTAAGGTAAATTTATTGGGGTTATCATTAAAATTTTAAGTCTTGAGGGGGTTAATTTTTTTATGTGTCATTGTTTTAAGGACACTGGTTCTTCAAAATGTATCTTGTGTGGAAGTACTTACTGTACACTGTGCTCATTTATTATATTCTAGGACAATAATGAAATTTGTTGAAATCCAATTTCATTTGACAATTATGTAATACTGATTGTATGGCAAGTATTGTTCTAAGTGGATTATGAATATGAAATGATTTAATCCTTATAGCAGCCCTACAAAGTACTTACTGTTATTACTCCCATTTTCATAACACTGAGGTTAAATAATGTTCCCGCAGAAAGTCAGCTAGAAATGATGAGTGCTTGTAGAACACCGGCAGTATCCTCTGGGGCCATGCCTTCACCACCTCATTGTGCTGCCTCTCTGCACATAGACTCTTGACCACATCCTCTCCTTTAGGCAAGAATTCTAAGAGGTTGTTTGAATTGTTAACTTAATATTGAAAAACTCAAGGTATGATAGTGTTCTACTGTGAAACACCGTGGAGAAGATTCAGTTCAACTGTTTTTCTTTTTTCTTTGTTTCCTTGTTTCTTTCTCTCCTTTTTTTCCTTCCTTTTTTTGTGAGCAGGGAGATCAGTGCAAATTTGATCATGATGCAGAGTTGGAGAAGAGAAAAGAGATCTGCAAATTTTACTTACAAGGATATTGTACCAAAGGAGAGAACTGCATTTATATGCACAATATCCTTTACTGAAACGTATGTTAGTCAGAATATTGAGATTTTTAAACATCATTGAGACCAGACACCATGTTGAACTCTGTTTCCAAAAGCTTTTAACTCTGTTTTACTTGTGTTTTTTTCCACAGTCACGCTAAAGAAAATAGTGATACTTTTCCTTCACTCACAGCATTCATACCTTCTACTTAACTTCTAGAAGCTCTGGTATCATAGTGCCTAAGGCACTTGACTGCTAACCAGAAGGCTGGCGGTTCAA